AAACATTATTGTTTTAATTCCTACACATCAGTCCTAGAAGGTGGGTTTTCTGTGTCATTCACTAAGAGTGAGATTCATTTTTATGAACATTGTCAATGCCTTGTGTTAAAAACTTACACGGAGGTTAAAATCATGAACGATGCCAAAAGTGTTAGTTGTTAAAGTTAATTCTTGTTCGTTTAATGTTTTGGCATTTTATTGAATAGATGGGTACTTATTATTGCTTGTTGGTAGTAACATGATTATTTTGGAATTGTCATCTGAGGCCCACGAGAGAAAGAAACCCAAGTAATAGCAGCAGCAGCAGTTCTCCCCCTCGTGGGGCTTAGGACTCACTGTTGGTTTACAGTTGCAAATGGAAATGACGCTTTTTATTTAAAATTGTTGAGGCTGCTCATATATTCATCTCGTTAATATTCTAAAAGTTGCTGTAAACGTAATTTTACATGATTTTGAGTGAACAAACATCTAAATCGAATTTTCCGTACTCAATGACATATGCCGATTGCCTTTAGTTTCGATACTTTATACTTTTGGTCTCAAGAGCACTCATAAAATCAATGATTTCCAGCGCTGGTTTAACTATAGAGTGATGACATTTTTTTCTTCTTCTTTTGCGAAACTGAAACCTGGTTATTACAATAAACAACTGTCATGCTACACTATTAGCATCTCAATGTTTATGAAATGCCTGATTTCAGATCCAAATAATACAACAAAACAGGTGTTGCAAGAAATCTGGGCAACTCTGCCATGGCGATTCTGATGTCAAAGGGACATCATGGAAGGAAGATGATGCCACTGCTTCTTGATTTGCCAGTCATTTTAAATATAATATTGAGAATTGAATGACGCTTAAGCAGCATATTCAACTGTGAAATGATTGTTGGTTTTCGAAAGGTAGCTCAATCTGTTTCGCATTGCCATAGAACTCTTCCAAGTTGTAGAAAGTCCTTTGTTGAGGAAGAAATATATGCACCACTACATCACCTGAATAAGTACACAAGTACATTGAACTTATCATTAAAAATCTTGCAGAAACCATAGTTCACACATTTCATAGAAGGATTAAACTAGTTGTGGTGTGATGAGGCAAAATCGAGGTCATCGATTGTTTTAAGTGTTGTTGAAGTCAATGACAAAATTGTGTGCCGTATCATGGAATGTAAACAAAGTTGTACCAATGATGTAAGTGTAGCAAAACCATTCATAGAATAATGCAAAAGCTATCTTTTCCCATACGTCACCGACAGGTTTTAATTTGCAAACATGGGGCAAAAACACCAATATTGTATTGTATTTATTGTCTCAACTAATTTGGCACAATTAATTCTTTTGATGTTCATACACCCCATTCTTAATTGTTTTAGATTATTTTCATGGAAGAAACACTTACCGAAGTCCAATAGTGTCCATGAGTTAGGCTTAGAATCCCCCATTGAGGTTCTCCCATACTTTTTTTCAGCTAGATCTCGTATTCTGGTCCTAGAGGACATAAATTAAACTAATCATTCACTAATATTCGTTCTACACTTATCCCTTTTGGCTAAATGCAAAGAAATTTACGTAGCAATGAATAACCAAACTGTCAAACTTAAGAAAAATATGCAAAAATAGCTACTTCACCCGATGGCATCAATTTGGGGTCGTGAAAATGCTGTGGCAATGATAAAGAACCGAGTCCAGTAAACAAGAGGCTTCACAAAAAGAACTCTAATATCTGCAGCTTTGACGTCACTTGCAACCTTAGCCAATGCCACAGCAACTGCATAGAGAACAATCAATGAATTTGTTATACACCACCATGAAATATAATCTCTTCAATTTTTACCTTGAGAGAAGTTAAAAGAGAGATTCCAATCTTTGTTTGTCTGAGAAAGGTGAAAAGGGGGTAACGAAGCTTAATTGAACTATTTTTTAACAAAAACAGCTGATACAAGAAAGAAATTAACCCAAGAATTAACAG